TGTGTGTGTGTGTGTGTGTGTGTGTGTGTGTGTGTGTGTGTAATGCCAGTAATGGCTAATTGAAAAAAAAAAATAAAAAAATTGAGCCTAATTCTGTTAAGCCCAACCAATTCCGTTACCTGTCAAATTTGCACAGGATGGCCTTTCAGGCCTTTTCGTTATCATTATAGTACTACGGGGAATTCCGAAGCAGCCAGCCCGAGTTCAAGTCTCCAACGAGAGAACATGTGGACGCTGCACCCGACTTGCGGGTGGGCGATACTGGCCAGGGGTCAGCCGGTAGCGTCAGGACCAAGCTTCTTCGATGGGCCAGTCGCTGTGCCTCCCCTGCGGTCCCCCCCCCTTACGAACATCACTAGTCTCTGCTCAATGCCGCTCAGGCGGACCTACGACCTATCTCTTGGTTGCAGCCTTGCAGGCACCAAGCATGCCCAGGAAGAGGTACTTGAGGCCAATGGGGATTGAACCCAGGACCTCCTCCTGAATGCTGCTTGTCTGCTTTACCAACTGAGCTAGGCCGATGGATAAGCGAGTGATCTGTTCTTTATTAAAGATTAAAAAAAAAAAAATCGTAGTTCAACGGTTTTGATTCTTTGAACCTGCTTTTTATTTGGTGGTTGGCTAATTTGTTCCCTTTTTTTGGTTGCTTCATTGATCCTCTTAAGTTTTTTTTTTTTTTTTTTTTTTTTTTTTTTTTTAAATTGAAAGATCCTCTAGGTAATATGATACTATATCCCAGTGGCCCATTACTCTGTCTTTGGCTACTTCAAAAGTTTGAACTGTGACCAACTTTCATGGAATAGAAAGTATGGTGTTTATAGCTGTATTTGGGGCAACTTTCCGTCTAGATGCAGCTATAATGACCGGACGTTCTATTTGAGGAAAGACAGAGTTGCACAGTGAACCATAGGCAGAAAGGCAGGGAAAAAAAAAAAAAAAAAAGCCAGAAAAGGGCAAGAAATGCAGGCTGTGACATGCTTCTGCTCTCTCCTCCTCCTCCCCCTTCCCACACACCCCTTTCCCTACCCACCCACACACCCACACACCCACACACCCACACACCCGCACACCCACACACCCACACACCCACACACCCACACACATGGTCCTCCTCCTGCCATCCCTTCTGTACTTCGCTTCCTTATTGTCGTATAATAACTATGGGTATTTAGACAATTTTTTATCTGTCTCTTATACACATCTAGATGTGTATAAGAGACAGCGAGAGGCACAGTGGAGGTGGAGTTCAAAGAAGAATGAGAAATTTAATGGTTTCAATCTGCCCTTGTTTTTTCTTTTTGTTTTTCTTTTTCTTTTTATTTTTGCATGTTATCACTGTGCCCGTTTTTTGCTTTTATTCTTTGTTCCGCAAAGTGCGCTCTTTTAGTTTGTAGTGATGTGACAATATATATGTATATCATCCGGGGTTTTCATTGTTCGGCCTACGAGAGCATGAATGGTTTAGGAATGGGAATACCGACATCTTGATGACGAACAAGGCCATCTGCTGTATATAGATAGATATGTAGTTGGGATTTATTTTTTTGCAGGCAAGAGTGTTTTGATATCCTGGTTGGTCTTGTTCCGTTGTTTGGGCCTATGAAGTTGGGGGCGGTGCTTACATGTGGGGCTTGTCATCCAGGATCTTGTTGCCCCCTGTTTTGTTATATTTGGCTGTTTCCTTCCTCTTTTCTTTGCCTCTTTGCCTTTTGGCTGTGTGCAAGTGGGTCGATATGACACACGGGGGTGGGGGCAGCCGCCGCTCAACCCACATCCACGTGGGCGGCCTTGTACGCAAGAGGTTCTGAACAGGGGGAGTTTTTTGTAAGTAAGAAGATAAAAAATGAATTGATATCTTTTTTGTTTCCTTTTGTTTTTTTCGCTTTTGCGCTCTGATAACTTTGTGACAATATATATATACCTCCTGATGAGTCGGTGAAACTCCGACGAAACAGTTTGTCACAGCCCCTCGTTTGTTGTCCTCTTCTCCCTCTCTGCCTACGGTTTACCGGGCAGTTCTATTTGACGATATATACTACGACTTCGCTAGCTTCCTGCTACGGTTTTCTCCGGTCAGGTCGAGCGGCAGTGGTCGGGGCCGTCACTACGCGGCCATGCTGTGCCTCTAGTGCCAGCGGCGTGTCTGGAGTGTATTTTTTGGCTGTGATAGACCTTTCTTTGTTTCGTGGATGTTTTGCTGGCTTGTGATGGGGTGTGAACCGACAGTCTGTAGAGTTTTCCATCTGGTGTGGGTGAGTGATAGTCTACTTTGGTTTTGGTTGAGGTAGATTATCATTTACAGTGTAATCAGTGAGGGGATTCTGCAGACTGTTGAGGGTTCAGCCTCCTGATGAGTCGGTGAAACTCCGACGAAACAGTTTGTCACAGCCCCTCGTTTGTTGTCCTCTTCTCCCTCTCTGCCTACGGTTTACCGGCCAGTTCTATTTGACGATATATTATAATATATATGAAACTCCGACGAAACAGTTTGTCACAGCCCCTCGTATATATATCCTCAAACAGGAACTGCCCATTGAACAGTAGGCAGAGAGGGAGAAGAGGACAACAAACCAAAGGAGGGGCTGTGACAAACTGTTTTGTCAGAGTTTCACTGACTCGTCAGGAGGCTAGCATTGATATATAGCATTGAGGAGAGAATAGTAGATATTGAGATCGACGATATATAGCGTTGAGATAGTAGATATAGTAAGATGATATACAGATCAAGAGTTCAAATTTCAAATCCAGTTGGTTGGATGCTGCGCAGCATCATGTTCGCGTTCCGAGGCGAACACGAACATCTTCGCCCGAGAAAGCGAACGAGCGCCCAAAACTCTCCAAACGCAAAAAAAAAAAAAAAAGGCGTCTCAAAAAAATCTGAAAAAATATATGTCATGAAAAACAACAATACAGTCATGTTCAAATTCTGAGCCAAACACGAGTTCAAAATAAAAAAACCTCAAAAAAGGTTTTTTTGCCTGAACACGTTCGCGAGCCGTTCTTCTCGAACGCTAAGGGACCACCGGTCTGCTAGGAATGCAGTATCAGTGGTGAATTGAGTTGACCATTTTTCTTCCGGGTATCACTAACGCTGGATGAGGCGGTGAGTCCTTATCGATCAGTCAAATGCATCCTGGCCAGACTGTCGGTCCAGGTTCCACCTCCTCATGAGTCTGTGAAAGTTCGAAGAAACAGCCTGGCACAGCCGTACTTCTTACTGAGAGATTGTATATACCGATCATGACAACACATACACATACACACACACAGTGCGTTCTTATCCGTCAGTCAGTCAAATGCATCCTGGGCAGACTGTCGGTCCAGGTTCTTGAACCTCTTGATGAGTCGGTGAAAGTTCGAAGAAACAGTCTGGCACAGTCATGCGTTTTTTGTGGAGTCATCAATACTAATAGTGAATGTGGCAACGCACACGCACTACACACCCACTACACACACACACACACACACACACACACACACACACACACACACACACACACACACACACACACACATGCACGCTCGCACGTGTACCCTGAAGAAAGCCAAAGTAAAGATAATTAAGAAAGGGATAATGGATCTCTTACGCCCCATCTTGCTTGCCATGGAGGTAAAACTGTTTCATTGTTGGACTGACTCATCTCAAGTGTCCTTCGTCGTCTCCAATAGAGGTAAAGCTGCTTTGATTTTGGATGTACTCATCAGGGTGGATCAGGGGCTGTTGTGGTGAAAATCTAAAACACAGAGAGAGAGAGAGAGAGAGAGAGAGAGAGAGAGAGAGAGAGAGAGAGAGAGAGAGAGAGAGAGAGCTACCACAGCAGGCACCACACTTGATACCTTGCCATACAAAAACGTTCAGGCTCAGTCATGATAGAAACAGTGTGTACATGAAAAACGCGGCTGGCGTTATCCCAGTGCATTTCGCACGGCAACTGCACTGGACTTCTCAGGGAAATACTTCGACCCTTACCCAGCATGTTGTCGTCCTTTCCCTCCCTCCACACTCGCATCTCTCAGCTGTCTCATGGACGATGGCGCGTTCCCATTCTTTGTTTCTTAAATGCTCTTCCTTTCCTGCTTCTCCCATTTCTCCTGTCCGAGCCCTTTAACGACTACCACCTTTCACAGGGAAACGTTTTGGCCGAAATGTGCACAACCGCGTTCTTTCGGACGAACAATGCTCCTGGACGAAATGGCTGGTGGCACCAGCCACGAAAAACAGA